GAGCCTCTCCCAGACCGTTTCCGAGACCGTTTCCAAGCATTGTGGAGCCTCTCCCAGACCGTTTCTGAGGCTCTCCAATTTTAATTCGGGTCAAAAAAATTGCTAGGTCTAGGTTTACCGACAGGGGTAGGCTTTAGGCTCTTTCTGAGTCTCCCCCGCGCCACTAAGACATCCAGAAAATAAGCTTGCTTGCGCAACCCGGTCGGGACCTCCTGTCCGTTCAGAAATTTGATTTTTTGTATAGGTCTTCTGGGGTCTACTAAAACTTCCGTTTTGGACTGATTGAGATTCATTCCATACAAACTAGCTTGTCTTTCCGTCTCCTGCAAGATGGCCTGAAGTTGCGTTGTGGTCCGGGCCAGTAGCAATGTGTCATCAGCATACTCAACGTCGTATACAGGTTTGCCAACTGACCATGTGTTAGTAGCTACCCCTGAGGACATTAAAGCAACATCTATATCATGCATGATTACCGATAAAACCATGATGAACAAACAGGGACTAAGCGGGCAACCTTGTCTAATGCCCGATCCTACTGTACCATACGCCTTGTCCCCGCTAGATGAGGCGGTGTAGAAGGTGGGGTCCTGATAAATGGAGCCTATAGTTTCCAGAGCCTTGTTGCTAACTCCGAATCTACGTAAAGCTACTAGCATGGCGTTGCGGTCTATAGAATCGAAAGCTTGTTTCCAGTCTAGGAAAAGAAAGTACAAGGGATTTGCAGTCATTTCTGACCACTCCATTGCCCTACGTAGGATGTGTAAGGGGTGAGTGGTGCCTCTGCTTGCGCACGAAATCCGTACTGTGTCTCCCTTAGATGCGCCTCGTGAACCTTGCTTAGTCTTATCTGTAACATGGCAGCGAAAACCTTATAGATGGAATTGAGGAGGGAGATGGGGCGATAATTTACCGGGTCAGTATCCAGTCCTTTACCTTTGCGCAGTGAGATGACAATGGCTTCTTTCCACTCTTTGGGGACAGCACCTCGATCCCATATGTCGTTATAAAACTGTAGAAGTCGTTGCGTAGTCTCATCATTTAGAAGCCGAAATAATTCATTTGGGGCCTCATCTGGTCCAGCGGCTTTCTTAGGCCTGGGTTTTGATAAGGCTTCATGGGGCTCTTATAAGGTGAATGCGTTGGGGTCATCCGACTGTGACCTTATGGCACTTCGGGCGTTCAAAATGAGAACCCTCCCTTCTGACTCCGGCGATTTCCGCCATTGCTTCTGCTCCAGATGGTTACGGAAGGCTGAATGCGTTTGTGACCATGGTACCGGCTTTCCCTCCACTACCAGGAGTCTCTGCCCTGGAACCCCCGTTTTTGCCGACGTGTCGTGTTCCACATGCGCGTTTTCGTGTGGGATGTATCCTCTGTAAGCTGGTTGTGTACCCATTGTACCTTGTCCTTGCGCGCTAACCGTTTTGCGATGTTTCTAGACTTTTTGGCGTCCTCTGTTTGCACAGCCTCTTCCTGCCGGGCCTTCGCTAGCGCCTGTAGCGTTCCTTCCGTGATCCATGGCCGTCTTTGAGAGTATTTTCGCCTCTGGCATGTTTGCGTCGCCGCCTCCTTCAACAGATCCGTGACATTGGCGTCTCGATTATACGTTGCTTGCGCGGTGTGGTCTGGTAACTGGTAACGTCGCCTGTGCGCCATGTCTTCCGATGATGCTTTTACCCTGTTCTGCCAAGCTTGTGCTGTTGAAGGAGCTGAGGGCATTGTGGTCGCCTGACTCACGAGGTCTGCAACCACTGGCGCTGGCGGCTTCCCCTGCACCATCGAAATGCTGTAATCGCCTTTGTGCTCCGGCTTCTTAAATTTGTCGCACAGCTCGTCCCAGGAATAGTAAACACTCTCGACAACTACTAGGCTTAGGGGGAACGGAAAAGGCTCATAGTAGTTGGTATGGATTGCCACATTGCTCCAGCGGCGTTCGCCCTTTCCGAGCTGCAATCCTTTTCCAGAAACAACAGCCTGAGACTTGGCTGTGGCAACAGCTTTTGCCTCAGCCATGTCTAGCTCATAGTGAGCTCCCCACATGACCTGGTTCCACTTCTCTGCCCACAAATTGGGGTCTTGCGTTGTGGTCTCAGTGGGGGGGGACTGCATGAGAGTGTGGAGTTCCTTGACCACTTCAAGTCTTCCCTGGAACTCCCCATTCTCTTCAAAATAAACCAATCTTGCCCATGCCTTCATGTCCTCCTTAAAGGAATCATCCTGCTGTGGGGCCATGAGGGTAAGGCTTTTCCACAGAATCGTCATTCTTGACGATGCGTTGTGGTCTGGGTGTGAATTTGTCACTGCCAGAAGGACTCTCAATGGGCTTTCGAGTTTTCGTTGCCATTGAGGGGAACAAGGGGCCACTTTAATGTGGTGCCCCTGGACCGGGGTATTATCATCTTTGTACAAGGGGCTTCCCGACCCCCCCCAAACTTCTCCAAGACTGCTGACCTGATTTCGAAGGCTTTGAATGTCAGCAGGGTCATCGTGGAATAAAACTCTCCTCCGGCCGGTGCAGTCACCGGTTCGCAGCTAAGGCAGTTCAGGTATCTCTTGACTTCGTGTGCGTTGTGGTCATTGACGTGCCCACGTTCCTGGCAGAAAGTAGCAGCTTTGGGCGTTGTCATCAACATCCACGCCACCATATACTCTGTGTCCGCTGGACCCATGCCTTGCGGCCACCCCGTAGTGAGCAGCTGGACTCCTACGGTGTACTTTTGCTGCAAACGGTTCTCTGCAGTCATCCACGAAAGCTTCTTCCGAACTTGGAATACCTCGTTGTGAAGGTTCTTGAGCCCGACCTCCAGCTGCGCCGCCAACGAGTAGAACTCGGGCCACCACTTTCTCGTGGTACGCCCTGATCACCGCAAACATGTCCTGATTGGTGCCCACTGGCTTCTGAAGCCACTGCTGGACGGCGTTGTGGTCGGCTACGTTGACCCCCAGCTCTGCCACGGTTGTCGAAAGGGCTGCCTCGTCCTGTCGGGAAAACGGTTGCAGAAACGAAACTGGTTGCGGTTTGTCCTCTGCGAGCTCCGCTTCAACCTCCATGTGCGCTGCGTCCTGTGCGGCCTCTTGCGGTGTGGTCAAATTGCTTTGACACGGCGTTGGCGCACTCCTTTTGGGCCGCTGGTGTTGCCAAAACAAACTTTGCACCGCATTGTACTGCTCATCTTGAAAAACCTGCCTGGTGGCTGTCCACTGCCTGTCCGCATCCGCGCTCGTGACTGCCCTCCCAGGTTCTCCAGCCATGGCTGGAAACTAACAAGGAAAAGTCCTGCAAGCCTTTCTCTTTAGGAGGCGTTGTGGTCAGGAGACCAAAAAAACTTGCAATGCACTCGCCGAAGCGCCTATAACCTAAGGTTAACCAGCAGCGAACCCCAAAATACAACAGCGTGCAATACGCTCTTTTTCTTGAGCCAAATAGAGCGAAGTACCTGTTTAGTTTCAACATTGAGCCCGTACATCTTTATCAACCTACTTACTATGCTGTTAGAGAGCTTGGACGAGGCACTTGACGCCAACAAACACGCGGTCTGTTATGAGGGCGACATTTGACTTGGAATAAGTCGACGATACACCGGTACTCTCCGTTCAGAACCTAAGACTCTCCGGAATTCCTGAATTTTCAGGTATCCCTGAAAAAATGTGATTACAAATGAATGACGGGCTGAAATGTGATGAAAGAGAAGGATAAAGTACGCAAGAATGGAAAATTCTGATAATGACCCCAACACTGACCCCCCCCCATGAAACAAGTGAGGTAGAAAGGATGATGAGAAACGGGTGAGAATGAGAATTCAGAATGACGAATGATGAAGAATGAAGTGGGGGCGGTAATGACCTCAGAGCCTGAAGGCTGAAACCCTAGGAGCCCCCTTTTCTACATATGTGGGGGGCCCTTAGCAACTCGCTCTGAACTTGAAGAAAAACCCGTCAAGTGCGCCAGTTTAAATCCTTTTCAGGATGGGTCGGCAGCTCCAAAAAATGCATTTTCGCAGAAGTCAAAACAAAGTCCTCCCTCAACTGAACGCACTGCGCCGCACTGCGCGCAGAGTCGCAGAGCTAAGTTTTTGCTAAAGAACATGTGATCACTTCTCGTGATCGCTTTGTCCCTCAACTGTTTTTTGTGGATTCGTCGTTCTGGTTTTGCAAAATGCGTCCCCGGCCGGCTGTTCGCTGTTCGAAGTCTTCTCTGGCTTGGCTTGGCTTCGATTCAACCGTCTCAGCAACGGTAAGCTGGCAGCCAACATCTTACTGTCGACTACGTCGGTCTCATTAAACTTCTTGCTACTGGCTGGTCTATCAATCTCTCCTGTAGCTGCGTCCACTTTGTGCCTCCACTTTTCGTCCCTGCTTAGCTTCTTTTCGGGTGTGGAAGGGTTTGGGCTGTTGGGCGTGTCATGCGTGGTGTTTCTGCGCCTCCTCACCAGGCCGCCGGCGCCGAAGGATCTCGGAGAGGCCCTCCAAAGCCAGCCGCAAGGTCCTCTAAACACGAAAAGTGGCAGAACAACCACTCAAGCTATGGATACAGAGTTGCTAGACACCTCAAGGGCACGTGGCTGCGGCAAACTCCAAGGGCGGTCCTGTAGGCTTTGCTGAGGCCATCGCCCGCGACGACAGAGAGCACAGTCAGGTGCTCCTAGGAGAGACGAGTGCGGATGTGAAGAAGAGAAGAGAAGAGAAGAGAAGAGAAGAGAAGAGAACAGCTTAGCTGTAGAGGCACCCTTCACTTTCTGCACCCTTTCCTCTCTTCTAGACGGCCGGTCAAGCTCAAAGCTCAGGTTGCGGAAAGAAACAAGCCGCATGCTGGGCTTCGAGGGGCATGCACGTGCAGGCTGTTACACAGGCGGCTTCCACTTCGACTCCCATCCGCCGATGCTTGTGACGGCGAAGGGCGAAGGGCGAAGGGTCTGGATGGTCTGGAATCTGGAACTCAAGGCACCGAAGGCACCGAAGGCACCAAGCTTGGTGCTTGTGCCTCCACCGAGGCGCCACAGGGCAAGTCGCACTTCTCTGATTTCGGCTCCACGTCCCTTAAGAACCAGACGTAGGTGCTTCATGCTGCATACTTGCTGCATCATGCGTGGCCCCTGTGGCACTGGCTGGTTGCACATCGGGCACCGGCGGCTCCGCGTTACGAGCCAAGTCTTCACCTAAGCCAAACGGCATGCAGGACAAGAGCATACGCAAGATCTTCCTGGCTCCAGAAACGCTCAAGAGCGGCAGGTGATGAAGCTTCTGGCACATGAAAAAGCAGAGTTTATGGCTTTGTGCTCAAGTTGGACCGTTGAGGCTGATTTTACAAGAGTCTACGAGCCAAAAGGCAAAAGGCAACATCTTCAACGAGGTAACCAACTCGCTGTGGCTTCCCTTCGGATCTCGATCCGAATCTCCGAATCCCAGCGCTTTGTTCCCAGCAGCGGCTTCAGAGCGCCGAAAAGTGCAAAAACAGGAAAAAAGGAACAAAAAGCACTTATCCCCGCCATCCCGCCATGACTTTCGTTTCCCCGCAAATCCAACCACTGCCCATGTCCATGCAGTCCTCCCCTCCAACCTGCCCCAAACTTGCGTGTCACCATGTCGTACCATGTCCATGATGCTTCGAGGGAGATGTTGTGGGAATGGCAAAGCTGCCCGAGCATGCTTGCCCTTACCTTGTGCCCCCTTGTGCCTGCCCCTTTACGGCCGCCACGTTTTACTTTTGCCCTGCTCCAATGCCAAGGTCATGCAACCGCTTTGCATCTATGCCTCTTGCCAAACAATCCTCGCAAAAGGCTGCCAAGCGGCACAAGGAGCGTGGAACCTGTGGCCACACGGCAGCTGGACCAGCAAGCTCCCTTGCAGATCCTCAAAGCCTGAGAAGAAAGGCTTTAAGGAGAAGATGAGAAGCTTGAGAAGTTGCTGAGAAAGAATCGTCTTCTTCTTGCATTTCTCTCTTTCATTCCTCTTTCCTTTCTTGTCTTGGCTGTCTTGGCTCAGGACAGATTGCGCAGACGTCAGCCTCCTCCGCCGGGACCTGACTGTGGCCACACGAACGTGAAAGCCCACATGTGACGTGCCGTGACGTGCCGCTTCAAGAAGCATCAGACACCCAAGAACACAGCTGCAGTCCAAACTTACACACTTTTGTACTTACACAACATGCTTGAAGGTAGCATTAGGCATCCTTTCTGGACGTTGCCATGGGGCGCGAGGGAGGCTCTCCACCACGCAGGAAGGCACCTGGCACTGGCCAAAGGCCGAAAGAGCCGAAAGGAGAGGAAGGGGGGGCGAAAGCTTTGAGTGCTTTTTTTTTTCCTCTAATGTTTCTCCTTTTTTGAAGCTGAACTCAACGAGTGCTCTCAGAGCAATGCGGGCAAATTCCTTAAGTGCTGTAAGTGCTAAGTTTCAGTGGAGAGGCCAAGAAGAGGCTGTAAAGTAAGCATTGGCTCTTTGAGGCCGTGGGGCTGTCTTTTGCAGTGACCGCTGTAAGGTCTGCTGCTGGCTGAAAGTCAGCTCCGAGGTGATCAGCAGCTCCTTTCCCAGGCGCCAGGCCGAGAGGGAGAGGGAGAAAACACGAAAAAAAACACACCACACAAAACAAATCCTCTTCCTTCTTTCTGCGCCAAAACACTCACCTTTCTCTTCTTTCTTTTTTTCTTTCACTGTTCTTTTGTTCTTTACTCGGACGAGCTGCAAGCTTGCAGGACATGTGCAGCTGCTCCAGCATCGTCTCGATCTGAGTCTCCCTGCGCGACAGCTGCGCGACAGCTGCGCGACAGCTGCGCGACAGTGCCCTAATTGCCCTCACTCAGCTCACAAAAGACTCACTGCAAAGACGCCAGCACTTGATAAAAAGGATATAATTAACGCAACCACCAAGCATGATGCTGTTTCTATATGGTCTGCCACTGCAGTACTGCAGTAAGAGCAGAAAGGCATGGGGAACAATCACGCTTGAGTCTCTTTTATAGCATGACCACGCACGTAGGAGCCGGGAGGTTTGATGCCAGCAAGATGGCATTCTCCGGCATGTCTGTGACAATGAACATGTCAAGCGAACCCTGCAGAAGGAGGTTTGATGTAATTGTCAAGCGTGATATGATTCGTAGCATGACCATGCACGTGTTACTGAACACTGCCAGGTATAAGGCAACCCCCATGCACCGCGTCTGAACTCAGCCCCTGAATTCAATTGGAAAATGTGCAATTGCAGCAGAACTATGCAGAACTGCAGAACTGCAGCAGAACAAAGCCCCTTGCCCGTTGATGGCGAGGATGGCGCAACCAATGCGGATCGGACGATCTGGGTGCTCTTGCGACCACCTCGGGACCGGAGGCGGGGGCAGGTGCAAGCTGTGAAGGCATCAGATGCCCTGCAGGACTATTCGATTTTCCGCTCCCGCGCCCCGAATCCATTTCGAGCCGCTGCAGCACTGCGGACTCCTGCGCCACATCCTTGATCAGCAAGCCTGACAACAGCTGAGACTCTCAGCTCAGTCGCAAAGCCGAGGAAAGGGAGCAAAAACGCGGCAGCTTGCAACGCTGCAGTCGCGCCGCATAGCCAAAGGAAGAGAAGCAAAAACAGGACAAAGGTGAGAAGAGGCGCAGCATTGCGCGCAGCATGGCGCGCAGCATGGCGCGCAGCATGCTGCAGCCTTCCCCTCGCTTGGTGTAGGTGATGACAATGCCGAAGCGATCACCCAGGGCCTGAGTTCACAGTTCTGCATAGCTCTGCTCTACCTCCCTCAGCTGAATACCCTGCATACGCACCTGCTTCCTGAGGGTCACCCGGTACCTCAAAACCAACATGAACCAACCGTGAACTGTGCGAAAGACTGAATTCAAATTTCAGTTTGGGGAGCCCGGCGTTTTGGAGGGCCGCACGCGCCGGCCACACCCGAGGGAAAAGACCTTCCTGCAAGTCCCACATTGGACACCACTGCATACCACTGCATACCACTGCATACCACGGCATACCACGAAGCAACATCAAGACTTCGCCGCACCTCGACAAGCACAGCATGGCTGCGCTTGCACTCAGTGGCAACGCGCCCCCCAGGAGCCAGAAACAGCAGCGTGGACAGCATTCATTCATCGTCGTGCATCGTCGCGCATCGTTGTGCAAAAGTAAACAGGACTTCCCTGAGGCTTGCAGAGTTCCTCGTGGTTGGTCCATATTGCCAAGTCCCTCGAGGTGGAAGCAAAAACCTAAAAGGACGGATGAAAAGCAGCGTAGACCTCTTGAGAGCAAAAGTTGTTGGGCGCGCCCCACGGCCGTGCGGCCAATCACCGAAGGCACCGCTGGCCTCAGGTGCGCGTCATGTACATACAATGTACGTACCCTGCGCTAAAATATGTGGCATCATGTGTCATCACCTGGTAGACACAGCCCGGGCCCAGCCACCAATCTGCTTCTATCGGACGGTAGGCCGAAGTGAAGCCCGGCTGCCTTTTAGAAGGCTTTAAAATGCTTTAAAGGAAGACATCGAAATCCACTCGCCCGATGCACCTTCAGCCGTGCTTCTTCGAACTCGTCCATGCCCCCTGATTTACAGCACATTTTGACATCTGCGCGCACGCCTGTGCTACACAGGTGCCCATGCTCCACCTAGACGCGGTGCGTAGCTGGAGGACTGCCGAAGTGGAAGGTAGACGCCTTGACAAGCCGCAAGACCACTCCCTCTTTCTTTCTTCTCTCTCTTTCTTTGTTCCCCACCCTCGCTGTTGGGTTGTTAGATTTTAAAGTAGAT